TACCGTGTCTCGCAACGGCATGATCTTCATGTCCAGCTCTATCCTTGACTGGAAACCAATACTGCAAGGTGTTGACCGGTCTCTTCCATTCGTTTTTTGTTTAAATGCATTGCTCCTTTTACCTATTTTCCACCGCCTGTCTAGTAAGAGGCATAGTTTAGGCAGTCTGAGGAGCTCTGTGACCGTGGGCAACAAAACTGGGTTAACCACTAAGTACTCGAACTCCGTTCCTGATTCAGTTTTGGCACTACATGCCACTCTACGAATTCAACTTATTATGCGAAACTCCTTAAACTCGTAGTAGCCAAAGGCCAACACTTAAAGAGCGCTATATAAACAGTTAGAGTATTCGAAGCTTAACAACTGTTTTACTCCTCAACAGACGCTTAGTCAGGTGCTGCACACAGAGCCAATTGGCAGTAGGCACTGGTGAAAATTAGGTTCAGTTTGATGCGAAAGTTTTTTGTATTTTCAGGTTGGTTACTGACCAAATCTGCAGCCATCTCCGAGGCAGTTATGCCTACATGCGAGAAGTTTTTCGCTCAGATACATCGTTTTATCACAATGAACCTTGAAGCGAAAATGGAGGTGAGTGCCCACCAAAGTGTGCCAATTTGAGATAATACTTGCACATATAGTAGGTAAAAACTGTCGGTACTTGTTGACCATTGGCGTTTGATGGCCGAAAAAAGTTGAGAAAATAAAGTACACGGACAGTTTTCCGCACTTTTCGGAAAAAGATCGTGAGCACTAGGATCACTTTCCTTTAAATACTATATAGATATATTAATGTTGTAATTTACTATATTGGCAACACAGGTACCAGGTGAAAGTACAGAAACGTGTTCCGGCGGCTGATGGAGTACGGTCCAAATATATACAGTACAGCCTAGAATTCGTGTAACATGCCGACATATGCAAAAGATTGATACTCTTTCGCCAATCGGCATTGAGTAAGGTTGTAATACTTATTATTATGTAGGCTATTCTGAGGTCAGTTCAGTCATGATAAGATGCTGGATTTTAAAGAACTTCTTTCTAATCGTTAAAAAAACGTATGTACCGTAAAAAGAGGCTACTTAAGTAGTATGCATTTTTATCATTGACTTTGACTGCCTTTGTAAATTCAAATCTATCTTATGGAAAATATGCACCAAAAATTATTTTTTGTACCCAGTCGGTAGATACTTACGTCTTTTTTAATTTTATACTTGAAAGAAGTATCCCTTTCGGTTTTAAAAAACGTTTCTAATTTTGAGCTTTTTTAATTTTGAGGTTTAAATTCATTATACATCACATCCGTCAATTAATTAATGCTGCCTATAATGTATATAGCATATTCCATACCTATTGCAACATCTTATGACAACTATGTGACTTCTTCCTCAAACCGTAGGCGAAAACGTACTTTTCCTTAGACAGGATGTACACAGCGCGCAGTCTGTAAACCTTGAATTCAAGCGTAGCAGTCAGTAGGTTTAAGCATTACTTGGCAATTTAAAAATGTTTTTGTACCCAAAATCTACCCTTTCTCTAAGTATAATATTAAGAATAGATGTAATTTTCTACCAAATAAGTACGAGAAATAATGTTTTCCATTAAATATATTTGATGTTATAGAGACCGCCAAAATCAATACTTGTCAGTAGCTTTAAAAATTATTCGACTCCATACTGATGCCTTGGACTACCTAACGCTCGAAATCCAAAGAAGCCTGGTTCGAATCGCACGCCATGCAGACCCGGGGTTGGTTGTGACCGACTGATGACGACTTGTAGGTCCGTGGTGGTCTCCATCGTCTTTGTCGTTACTTACTGTCTGCATTCATTTATGAAGACGAGTGAAGTAAACACTCAAACCCCAGAGGAAAATGCTTGAACTCACACCAAAGGACTTGTATAATTTGGTTTTTCTAGTTTCGGCTCTTTTGACAGAGTTTTGGCCTGGGTTTTGCGACAACCATCTCTCTTAACATCACACGCACGGCGTTGCTTATAAAGCTTTAACGAATAAACCCAGACAGCTCTTTTTCTGCCTATTACTGAGTAAAGTGGTACATGGCCAAAACTTGAAGCTAGTGGTTCGTATACTATGGGTCCCATGAGAGATCGGGGTCTTAAGCGTGAAGCCTCTGAGAAAATAAATATCAAACCCAAGTCTGGAGCCCTGAAAAAAATCACACCGTCGTGCATTATTACCGTTAATTGGTTTATTTTCACAAATACCATCACGCCTACTGAAAAGAATTTCAGTAGAAAAGCCAAAAAGAAATGAACAAGTGCCGCCGTTTCTTCCAGTCCACACTGAACTATATGAATGGAACATAATCACTGGCTTCCACAGCTGGCTCATGATAACTCTCCTGTTGTGGTTATTTCAGCTGCTGGAGTGTAATTATATCAAGCAGCTGACCGACCTCCTGGACGGACTCATGCTGGACGTTGATGAAAAAGAACTTACTCGAGCCTATCTAGAGAAACTGATAGTGTTTGCAGGCATGTGGTCACTGGGTGCAGCCCTTGAGATTGCAGACCGCCAGAAAGTGGAGGCTGTCATGCGAGAACTGGAGGAGCTACCCTTGCCACCGTGCAGTGAAGAAGAAACTATGTTTGAGTATGTCGTTGGCCCCAAAGGCGTTTGGGAACATTGGTCAACACGTGTCCCCGAGTACATTTATCCCAAGGATCGCACACCGGATTACACTCAAATCCTTGTGCCCAACGTGGACAACACGCGAACCGACTTCCTTATCCACGCGATTGCGCGACAGACAAAACCCGTACTTCTCATAGGCGAACAGGCAAGTCTCCGGTATTTTCCATAGTTTTTGTCTACTTACTAAATATAAGTAAGCACTCTAACGTAATATTATGGTTTTCTAGGGTACGGCGAAAACTGTGATGGTTAAAGGCTACTGCCGAAAGTACGATCCCGAGGAACATATGTTCAAGGCCGTAAACTTCTCCAGCGCCACAACGCCAAACATGTTCCAACGCACCATGGAGAGTTACATTGACAAACGTGTGGGTTCTACCTATGGCCCACCAGCCGGGAAAAAAATGACTGTCTTCATTGACGATATCAACATGCCGCTCATCAACGAATGGGGCGATCAAATCACCAACGAAATCACGCGGCAAATGATGGAGATGTCCGGCTTCTATAATCTGGACAAACCGGGTGACTTTACAACCATTGTGGACATTCAGGTAGATTAATTTCCATAAATTAGTACAGTAGTAAAAATACAGGATGTCCCAGAAGTAACTGACCCTTTTGATTTGCCAATCAAACGAAAACCTTTAACGCTAGGATATTGAAACTTGTTTTATTCGAAAGAAAAACCTTTTTATGTTTTATCAAAACTAGGTTTTTATTATAATGTTTTTTAAATGATGGCCATGATTGTTTTGACAACTTAGGGTTCGTTTCTTTGTC